AAAAGCTTAGCTTGTGTTCAGACTTAGCAAGACCTCAAAAAAGAGAGAGAAGAAAAAGATCAAAAGCAAAACACAACAAGATTCAATTTTTTTTGAAACCCAACACCCTCCAATTCCACTTTTCTTCTTCATTTCCCATTTCTAGACCAAAAATCTTTGAAAAATATTCAAAACCCATCTCTAAAATCCTTCAATCTTCAATACCCAGATCATAGATTTTTTTAAATTTGGATATTTTCTTCTATATTTCTCTCTGACCACCATTTTCCTCTGTTTTTTCCCTTCTTTGTGATCATCATTATGATAGGTGTCTTACTGTCTTTTCCACGTGATTTGGCATTTGAGGCTGTGTCCTCTTAAGTCTTAATTGTATTGAGTCTTGAATTCAAAATTTTCTGTATAATTAATTGTTTGTTCATAAAAATTCCGTTTTGATTACTACCTACTTTAATTCTTGAAGTTATTGCTTCTGTATCCTTATTTTCTCTGTTTAAATATTTTCCAAGTTATATGCTTTTCTCAATTCAACTTTGAATTTCAAGAGCCCTGTTTTTTCTTGACTCATAGTATCAGATACTGAAATTTGAGTTATGGGAATTCAAAAAGACAGGGTGAAATTTAATGTTGGTGGTAGAATTTTTGAAACTACAGCTACAACTTTGGCGAATGCTGGTCGGAATTCGCTATTTGGAGCCATGTTTGATAATGAATGGAACCTAAATTCTGATGCCACAACCACTGAACACTTCATTGATAGGAACCCTGATTGTTTCTCTGTCCTTCTTGACCTACTCAGAACAGGAGAGCTTTATGTACCACAATATCTTCCTGAAAAGTTGTTATATAGAGAGGCTATGTATTATGGTTTGTTAGATCATGTCAGGTCAGCTAAGTGGGGTCCATTTGATGGAAACAGGCTCGGCCTAGCCAGGTCAGTGACAGGCCGAGCTCCGGGTGATGGCACGGCCATCCGGGCTGGCCCGGATGGCGGGTGCTGTGTAGCTCATGGTAGTATGGTTCATGTCTATGATTGGATGTTAGAAGAGCACCCTGCAATTAATCTTGATTATCAAAGGGTGAATGATGCAGGGTGGCTTGATTCCGAGAACATAGTGTTAAGTGCTTGTGAAAGATTAGGTAAAGGAGATGGAGGCATGGGTTTGTTTAGCGCATCCAGTGGGGAGTTAAGGTACAAATTTCATGTCAAACATGAAAACCAAGTGAAAAGTTATACAGCTGGTGCATTGAGTTTTAGCTCAGATTATAAGTTGTTTTCTAGTTGTAAAGGTAGAAGTAATGAGTATGGTATTGGTGTATGGGACCAAGTTACTGGAAAACAGATAGATTTTTTCTATGAGCCACCTGGTTGGTCTCTTGGTGATGCTGACAAGTTACAATGGTTACATGGTACTAACTGTTTGTTGGTTGCTACTTTGTTTCCAAGGAAGGACAATTGTTACATCAGTTTATTGGATTTTAGGGACAAGAGTATGGTTTGGTCATGGTCTGATGTTGGCGCGCCAATAACGGATGAGAGGAGAGTTAGGGACGCGATAGCAATGGAGGAAACTAGCTCCATTTGTGTGGTGAATGAGTATGAAGATTTGGGGTTTATGGATTTGAGGAGGAGTGCTGGAAGTGTAAGGTGGAGTTCAAGAAGTAGGTTGATGAAGGGGAAAATGCCGGACGAGCCGTGTTATCCTAAACTGGCATTGCACGAGGGGCAATTGTTCTCATCGATGAACGATTGCATTTCTGTGTTCTGTGGCCCTGATTATGTTCTTACATCAAGGCTTCGACGTAGCTATGGTGGTTCAATTTGTGATTTCTCAATTGGTGGTGATCGTCTTTTCGCTCTTCATAGTGAAGAAAATGTATTTGATATATGGGAGACTCCTCCTCCACCAATTGTATAACAACAACAAAAAAAAAATCCAGTGAAATCCCACATGTGGGATCTGAATAGGGTAGTTAGTATGTAGGCACCTTACGCTTACCTTGAGAAAGTAGAGAGGCTGTTTCCGACAGACCTCCACCAATTGTATGATTTTTATGTTTTGTTATCCATAGATGAGTGAGTTTTGTTCTCTTTTTTTCTTCAGATTGTTAAGAGTGATGTATCAAGAAACTACAACAGATGATTTTAAGATAGAGAAACTAAATAGAAATCAGTGTGTAATACTATCAAGATTGTGAGTTTGTGTATACATTTGAAACTGACATATTAAGGAAACTGATTGCTTAGAAATCAATATTTCAACTTTCACCTTTGCCTTGCTTCTAATAGATGCATTCTTTAAATTTTTAATGCACCTGTCAGTAGATATATTCACTTTCAGGCTAAACTGAAAACTTCAATTCATTTTTGTTATCTTCATTGGACCACCTTATGATAAAGTACTACCAAATCTCTTTTGCATAAAACCTATCCAACAACCTTCTTTTGATCTAAGCTTTAACAAAGATTATTCCTCTTTATGTAGTTGTACAATTCGGTGTAACTGGTAAAGTTGCTGTCATGTGACCAGGAGATCACGGGTTCAAGTCGTGGAAACAGCCTTTTGCAGAAATGCAGGGTAAGGGTGCATACAATAGACCCTTGTGGTCTGACCCTTTCCCAGACCCCGCGCATAGTGGGAGCTTAGTGCACTAGGCTGCCTTTTTACGTAGTTGTACAATACAATGTAACTTAAAGTTACCAGTAAGATTCCAGATTGCCAACACTTAAAAGAATTGTGGGGTGTGAGGGTGGGTGTGGTGGTACCATTTGCATGTGAGCAGTTGTAACTACTCAGCCAGGCTAAGATTATTTATTAGTGGTTTATCTAAGAAAAAGAGGTAAAGTTTTGCTTTGTTTTTCCAGATCAGTAGGGTAACTCTTTCTGTCACTGAAACATAGGGGCATCTTTTTCTCTTTCTTTATTTTCCTTAAATGGTAGTTTCCTGGTCAGTTTATGCGCACCTCAACTATTCCACTAGATACTTGCAGTCCCGAATAACTCTCTTCATCAAACGCTTTTAGGAGTCTCTTTCCTTTTCAAGCGACTTTATTTTATTGTGTTTGTCGTCGATAAGCTTATAGTCGTATAGCTCTTTTGAAAAACTCCCCAAGTGAACATATATATGTTAAACGGATAAGTGGGTCACCCTCTTTTTGGCTTCGGCCAAACATTTTTTCTTGTTGGTCGAGCTTTTTACAAAAAAAAACGATGCAAGAACGTATTCTTTAATCTAAGCTTCTTCCTTGTGCACTAGCTCCCCCATCATAGATGGTTCAATCACACCTGGTGCCATGAAATAATTGAGAACTACGATAGGGTCGAAATAAATTTTGTTCTTCGTATTCAATAAGTATTGCATGACTGAATAATTCAAGGAAGAGCGGACTGCAGGGAGAGTTCTTTCAAGCAGATGACTCATCGAGCAGTCGGAGCGGGATTTCTTTAGGGAAAAAGAACTTGAATAAGTTTGTTTTTCTGAAGGAATCACCATTTTCTTTCAGTGCCGAGTAACTCTCTCCACCGAATACTTACAGTAACGAGTAACTCTCTCCATCAAACGCTTAAGCAGATGAAAAGAAATCACCTAATTTTCTTTTGATTGTTCCAGGAATTATATCCCGATCATCGGAAAATTTTCATCAAACTTCATTGACCAATAGGCCACGGCCTCGGAATGCCGAGGACATCTTTTTCCTGTTTTGCAGTTAAAACAAGATTGCTGGTAGCTGCAGGATAAAAAACGGGTGGTTACTGTAAAAACAGATCATATCAACAAATGCTGACTCTTGCCTTTTACCATTCACGAAATCTGGAGCCGGCATTATTTGTTTAATGGAACCACTAATCACTTTTTAATGATTAATAATATTCATCGAAAAGCACGACGCCTAATACACGACAAATTTTTCAAAATTATAATAATGCAGATCATTAAATTAAGTTTAAACTTCTATAATGGGAGCAAATCCCCATTTAAGAAACCCCACAATCAAAATGAAACCTGTACTCTTTTGACTTTCGCCTGCGATGTTTCAAGTTTCAACCACAATCTAGCGTTATCTCAAAACAAGGATCATTAAACAAAACAACTACTAGTACAGTCAAACCTCGATATAACAGTCTCGTTTGTTCCGATATATTTTTGTTGTTATAATAAAGTGTTGTTATAAAGGGAAATCGATTCTCAGGAAAACTTGGCTTTTATAGCGAATAGCTGTCATATAGAGATGCTATTATAGAGAGCTCTGACCGTTGTATTTTTTTTTAAAGTATGATTCCTCTTGTTTAAGAGAATACTTTAGTGCAAGTACATCAGATTTACAACCTGTTAGCATGAGGTTTAGATGTCCAAAATGCAAAATAACAATAGACAGATAACTCAATAACAACGAAAACAGCAAATCCAGTATAATTCCACAAATGGAGTCTGGGAAGGGTAATGCGTACGCGGACCTTACCCCCACCTTATGAACAGGGGCGGATGCAATGTCTTACTAGCGGGTTCAACTGAACCCATAACTTTCGACGCGGAGTAAAAATTTATTAAAATTGTAACAATAGTAGATATGAACTCATAACTTTAAAAATATAATGGGTTCAATATTAAAACTCTTAAAAGTTAAACCCACAAAATTTAAATCCGGGATCCGCCTCTGCTTATGAAGACAGAAATGATGTTTCCGATAGACCCTCGGCTCAAGAACAATGATAAGGAAGCAATAAACAATAGCAACAACAACGTAATAGGGCAACAACAACTAACGACCCAATGAAATCCCACTAGTGGGGTCTGGGAGGGTAGTGTGTACGCAGACCATACCCCCACCCCAAGGGATAGAGAGGTTGTTTCCAAAAGACCCTCGGCTCAAGAAGACGAAAAGAGGTAATATATCAGTACCATCAATAAAAACCATGCAAAAAAAATTAACAGCATCATAAGAAACAAGGTAATAAGGCAACTGAATCAAATGGCACAGCGAATAGACAGATAACTCAGTGTAAGAGAAATCACTGTCGACCATCTATTAAATCGGCCTCGAAACGAAGAATACAATGAAATTTTGGTATAAAATAAGCAACATGATATTCATGGGTACTAATTAAATAAAGATGACAAAATGTGATTTCCTTGAGAAATTTAAATTATTGTATACTACACTTACACTACCAAGAAACTTCCTGAGAAGATATTTCTCACTCTGATGTGTTAAAACAAGTCTTCCAAATATTGGTAAGAACTTGAAACTTGGGTCTGGACCGCTTAACCGGACCCAAAAAAATGGAAGGATACCTTCCCAAAGAATGAGCCGAGCGAAATGCATACTAATCAAGCGTAGTCAGGCATTACTTTTTTAAGGAATGTAATCGGCTGGGCTTCTTCAGGGACAACTTCGTCAAAGGGAACGTAATTCTGCTCCTTATCGTACACGTGACATATTGTCAGTATTGTCTTCATTAGACGCCAGTTCCATGAAGCCTCGTTCAGGTACTGTTAGGTGTCAACAACAAAATGCAAGAATGTCAATAACCAAACAAAACGATTGTAGATACACACACACACAGAGGTGACAGTGCTTTCACATCTTATTGCGCATATTTAATAGATATCTGACGAATTGTATGTTGTTAAGGAAAACAGGTGGTCTAAGTTCATAAAACACATTGCAGAAAATGTCAAGCGCCAACCTGAGGCGGAGCCAAGATTTGCAGTTTGTGGGTTCTGAATTTGCCACATAATTCCCAGTTCGTCTTAGTTATTGGGTCTTAGTTATTGGGTTCGCGACTAAATATTTATACATAGTTAATGAATTTATTAATACAATAACAGAGTTTAAGCAAAAATGGTTGGGTTCAGCCGAACCCGTATCGAATAGGCTAGCTCCGCCACTGCCAACCTCGCTGCCCCCACCCCGCCCCCCGCCCCTCAATATCCCAAGGACGAACCAAACAAAAATATGATACCCGATTAAAACGTCAATAAAAGAAATGAAACATTGTTAGAGAAAAACGGCTGGTACATAATACCTTTCCCCAATTCTGTTGGAGAGACTGATGAGCTGCCCGTAAATTGTAACTCGGTATTCTGGGGGATATGTGGTGGGGGATATGAACATTGATATCATGACAAAGAACCTCAATCCTGTAGAAAAGAAAGAGTAAATATCAGAAAAATGAACATTTCAGACAGGAAGAGAAAAGCAGAGGGAACAGTTCCTTAAAGCCAGAAAAAAGGAGAAAACTGAAAGTGTTATCTCTTAGACGCAATCAACTGTGACAGATTAATATATCAGTTTAATTCATTTCTGTTCTCAAGATTTTCAAATTGTAGACCCAATCAGTTGAGAGTGAGAGTACGGCCAAACTTTTATTGTTTGTTTGTCTTTATGTGGCCGTCCTTTATTTCCCCTTTTGGGCGAGGGGAAAAGTAGGAGAAGATGAGAGGCCGTTTGAATTAAATCCCAAGTTGATAGCATATATTAGTTTTAGCTGAGATGTGTTGTTTAATAGTATGGGGAGTAAAAGGATACTTACTTAACAGAATTTACGCTCTTATGTAAAGCAGCTCAAATGAGCAGGCACTTCCCAAACTATAAAGCAATGTTCTCTCAGTTAAGTGTACATACTATCCCCTTTTTCATGGTTCGAAAAAAGAGAACAGGAAAATAGCAATTTCCCGAATAATTTATCATTAATATAAACATGGATATCTGGGAGTATAACTGAACGGACATCGTTATACTGCTTAGTCTCACCTTTCTGGCACTTAATATATTACTCCAATGGCACCATTCCTTGACCTTCTTTCCTTTTTCATCCTAATATAGTTGAATTTCTTTTCTTAAATAGAACATATTTTCCAAGAAATTCAAGCTAGTATGAATTCATATTGCTTCATGCTATCTTTATCCTGAATTCCTGAAGTGATATCTTTCAAATATCTACTCTGTCACTTCTTGCTTCAAAATTTTTAAACATTTCATGCATGTACCTTGAATATCATAATCTATTCCAATTCTCCTATTCTAATATCTATGCTAGTCAAAGAAGTTCGTGACTTTGGATGGAGAAAGTATTTTTTTTAAATGGAGTGGTGGACGGAGCATTAAACACAGGGAAAAAAAGGTCACCTCTTCTATTTAGGTAATTTTTTAAATGCATCACTTTTGTGTGTAGGAAGCATAAGCTAATACTATGCCTTTTAAGTCCAACTATTTTCCAAGGATTTGCCAAACTTGGTTTCAAGATCTTATGTTTGTCACGAGAATAAGCTCAATTGATCTCGTCGAGGAAAGAGGCAATTAAAGAGTGGATTTTACTCTCTTTCTTGTTTCAATAATGGTGGTGTCAAGGCAGCTTTTGCTTACCTCGCCTATTCCACCGGATACCTGCATCATCCCCCAGTATAAGTATAGGTATAGGTATCCGGTAACTCTGTTCACCAAGATTTAGGCTATAAGAAAAAGGCACCTAGTTTTTTTTGTCTTCTATTAGGATTCGTACCTTGACTCCCACGATTTCCATTTCAGCTTAAATTACATAGGTAATACCTTAGGTGCAGTGTGGATTTATCTTGAGCCTAACTCAACCCCAAAAGCTAGCTCATGAGGTGAGGATTGCCAAGCCATATAAGGAGACCAAGTCCCCCATCCCTTAGCCGATGTGGGAGACTCAACATCCCCTCCCCTCCCGCACGCCCAAGCCTGCCAAATAGAGCATGGACAATATAATGGGGGGGCCAATATCGGTGAAAGAAAGAATTAGATGGGTACGGCACTAATACCACGTGAGAAGTAAAGGCACATGAAATATTATTACTGATATGCGTTCCTCAACTCTAATACAAGAGGCCCTGTTTATATCGATACTCTGCACAGAACACAATACACATTTTCCAATGTGGGACACTCAACCTACTATATACATAAACTATCTCACACCTTTCAGCCCAAAAAGTATTTACAGATTTACAGTTAATTCATGCAAGATTAAGAATTTCCGGTAATGTCAAGAAAGAGGATAAAAGGGATCAATTACCAACTAGGATAATCACAGTGAACTGTGCCATTCAGCTGGGCCTGAGCAGCATTCCACTCATCAGAATTTTTGAAGGGTATGTGAGGTGCCGTATGATGAACCATTGTAAAAGTACTCATCTGACCATTTGAAATCAAATAAAAAGTTATTAGTATCAGAACGTTTATCGAGCAAATCTTCAAAAATGAACTACCAAGAGGGAATCACAGGAGAGCAGAAATTGCTATTACCCAAAAATGATAACCCAACCACGGCATTAACCAGAACTTAATCCATCCAATAATCCCTGTTTTCCAGATTATCAATGGCCAGCCAATTGCCATAAAAGCGAAGACGCAACCCAAACTTATTTTCACCCGGTTAATTTCATTTGGTCTGAACTTCTTCAAATTGAAATGACAGAGCCACCTAAATCAAGATTTGATATAGTAGATATGAATCAGGAAATTATAAACAGCCATAGAAATTAGAAAATATGGCAATTTTCACAGCAGCATACCAGTGAGCTATAGACATCCAAGGTCGAAAGGGTCCATAACCAAATATAATTGCCTTCCTTAGAGCAGGGAACGAATCGAACTCCTCCTTCCAAACAGGCTGCCAAGCAGTATCTTCATGCAACCTGGAAATAGGGGGAAAATGTGAAATTTATAGTTTTCACATACTCCCTCCGTTTCAATTTATGTAAAACACTTTCCCTATAAGTCCATTCAAAAAGAATCACACATTTCTATATTTGAAAATAATTTAACTTTAAATTTTTCATGTTACCCATTTTACCCTTAATGAGAAGTTTTTATAGCCACACAAAAGCTTTTACACTTTAAGTTTTTAAGATCACAAGTTTCAAAAGTCTTTTTCTTCCTTAAGCTCCGTGCCAATTCCAACTACGTCACATAAATAACAGAGGAAGTAGATGAATAATGAGTACAGAGCGCCAGAGTCTAAATACTAAACAATTGCAAGGGAAGTTTTCATTGAAAGACAAGATTTCTTCAAGTAGTTGCTTTTAAATTACCATTACTGGAAAGAGCTGGCATACTACATTAGTCTACAAACTGGTAACAACTTTTATACCAATTTTAGACATGAAGGCAAAATTTGAACGTCGATGAAAATGACTTCCATTTATTTGAAGCTATCAACCACATTTACACCTATTATCTGACTTGTGTAGGATCAGTTGGCAAAAGTTTTTGGGTCACGTAATTTAGAAAATAAATCTTGAATTCCAATATTGGCAAGTATTAAAGGAGCAAGGCAGAATTATCTTCGGAACAGCTAAACACAATGGAATAAGACGTTGACATTTCACAGCTCATGCCAAAAACAAAGATGTAATTAACTTGAAGAAAAATAATGGAGAAGGGTCATTTGACGAACATGTTTGTTTTTGCGTGATGCCGATCATGCTTGAACCGCCATGGCTCATAGGGATATATCAACGGCAAAAAGGCCAGAGTTCCAATTATATCTTCCAATAATTTGTTCTTTGAGAAGGATTTGTGAGCGCAATCATGTCCTATTACAAAGAACTTCACAAATAAAACCAAAAGAAGAAAGATGAGTCGGAGTTTTATGGTTAAGCAAACTATATAAATAAAAAATAAATAATGGCAAGAACAAATCAAAGATTTACAGAACATACCCCTGTAACTGCTGTTCCTGTCCAAGCCCAGGCCAGGGGAAGTAGATACCATGGAGCTTTGGCAATCATGAAAAGCCCGAGAGTATATGAAGTTGCTGATATCAAAACTGACTTCAATGCCTTCCCATTGTCAATCTCGAATACCTGATGCAGTAAACACAATCTAAAATGAAAATTGTGCCATCAATAGCAAATTACTAAACAATGAAAGTTGTGCGGACTCTTCATTTACGGTGTCGCACCCGTGTCGACACAACACCGACACTAGTATGGGTGTGGGACACATACCGGATCTGGTCAATCAACATTGGGTACTTTGACCATAAACTACGGAGAAATTAGAGAGAAGATTATGCATTTTGATTTTTCAAGACAAAAGCTATTGTAGATTTTTAGATGGCTACCTACAAATTGAGAAAAAGCTTGAATCACTTCACTGTACAAGCTATATGTACGTTTTCCATATAATGTCTCATACTTTAGACATCTTTTTTAAAGCTTTATTTCTAGATATAGCCGAATCCTCACACTCTTATCCTTCCCTGGATGTTTATCCCTGAATCTTAAAATTTAGATCATAAAGGATCTTACCTCTAGATCCACACTCGTACAGGATACCCCACCCAAGTCAGAGCAACTTGGCTCAAAAGGGACTGGATGATCATTTGTGTAAACTTTTACATAAACAGTACATCTCATAAGAAAGAAGTGTGGGCAGTTAATGTACTAACGCCAATCACCAGGTTCTAAAGGAAATGATGGCAATATGTAAATTTTCACAAGCCTTTTTCAGAGGAAATAATAGTACCTTCTTTGGGAGAGTTTCAGTAATATCTTTCATTGTGACTTTATCAGGTAGCGGTTCTCCAATTTGTCTAAACCCATACATTTCACTTAACCGCTTCCTATCCTCTGCACTGTCTAATGAAGAAGGTGCTATCGGAACTGCAACAGCTCGTACAACATTTGTCTTTCTCAAAGAAATTAAGCAGCTTTTTTGTTTGGATCTTATCTGAGGTAGACTTTCCCACTTTAAACAATATGTTCCTGCTCCTATGCACAAACATAAGATCGTCCAGAAAGCTGGTCAGACACAAGCAAAATCCATTCAAGGCTTCAATAATTTCAAGCGCAGAGATCAAAGAATTCAGTTATTTTTATGGTTTTCAGCATAGTTACTAAAACTTGGCCTGAAACCGTGCAATACATGAGAATCTTAGTATTCATATCTTAAATGAGAAATTGATTTAAATCTTTTCAGAAATATCAAGATGAACCAATATACATAATGAATATTTTTGTTAACAATAACATTTCTAGGTTGATACTATCGCATCCTTTTCCATTTCATTAAAACAAGCAAAATAGTTAAGTTTATCAACCAAAAAAACAAAAGGAAAGTCAACAGATTTTAAATTAGAAAAATGGCCTTTAGTTTAATGATTCTATTTTCATACCGAAAGAAACTTTGTCTCGCAATCCAACACTCTCTAAAATTTAGAAATTATTTCGAAAGGACTATTGGATAAAAACATAAGCAAAGAAAGTCGTTTTTCCCCCTTTTAATGGAAAATATTTTTCAAAGGAAAATAGTATTTCAAGTTTGGTTGCCAGAAAATGACTTTCCCTGGTCGTGTTCATCCCATTCTTGGTCTTCTAAATACTGATCTTCCGAATGTAATTCTTCCCGATAATAAGCAGTTTTTGAAGAACATTTTCCTTCATAGCAAAATCAGCCAGAGAGGAAACATATACATATGAAAACCCTCAGAGTCTAGCCACTTTTTTTTCAGTAATCAATTACATAACTAACTCCAAGCACATGTAACCGAAGGATGTGGTGCAGCGGATGGGGCTGCTCTTCCTTTAACCAGAGGTCTCGAGTTCGAGCCCTGGGTATGGAAAAATCCTTGGCAAGGAGCGCTTCCCCTCGAATGGGGCCCTACGCGGCGCGAATCCGGATATAGACTGGCTCCAATGCGGATACCGGACACCGGATGGGAAACAAAAAAAAAATATGTAACCCTGCAAATTACCATTCAAAGAAACTACATTTATGTGTTCCACTATCAAATCCTATTTTATGTGGCAAACTTTATTTTTAGTCAACAACAACAAACCCAGTGAAACCACACAAGTGGGGTCAGGGAAGGGTAGTGTGTACGCACACCTTGCCCATATCTTATGAAGGTAGAGAGGTTGTTTCTGGTAGTGTGTACGCAGACGTTACCCCTACCTTATGAAGATAGAGAAGCGATTTCCGGTAGACCCTCGGCTCAAGAACAGAAAACTTTTCTATATAGAAACAATTCAACTTTAGACTTTCTATTTACCCTTACCGAGGATTTATATCCATACAAATGTCTCTAACTTAATTTAGACCACAAACTTCAAGATTCCGTCTTTCTTTCTTACACTTCGTGTTCAATCAAACAATGTCATACAAATTGAGAAGGAGGGAGTAGAACTTATATATATATACAAACCTGAAGAAGCAACTTGGGTAATTCTAGTGCTATGAATTGGTCTTTGTTTGGAGGCCTAATACATTATAAACAAACAAAAAACATAAGCTTACAACTAAAATGAAACAGTATAGCAAAAATGGGAAGAAAACAGAATTAAAGAAATGGGGAATGTACCAAGAATAGAAAACCAGAGTCTGCAACACTACAAGCCATGTCAAATTATAGAGCAGATTTTGTAATTCAAGAATTCACAAAATTAAAAACCCCACTTAGCTAGTATGATTCTTTAGCCCTTTTTTTTCTCACCCCTTACCAAAATAACCAATAAAAATTGGTTCTTTGAAGATAAAGGGTGAAGGGTAGAGAAAAGACCAAGAACTTTATTTGTGTTGCAGTAGTAGCCTAAGGAGGTAAAAAAATTCACATGGGAATATTTATAGCAGTTTGACTGTTTCAGTTTGAGGTATGAGGTTTTACAACAATTCAATTGGACGGAAAATTGCTGCTTGGACCAAGTGTGGATAGAATTTTGTTCTAGGATTTTGCGGACCCCTAGTGCGACAGTTGCAAGACTTTTTGTGGTCAATTTGTAATTTGTCAATTTCCTTGGTTCATTAGAGTTCACAAATTTTTGGAAAATGGCAGATGTTAATACATTTTCTTTTTTAAAAATGGTATCGGCCAGTTTGCATATAATTTTATTACGAGACCGTTTGGATTAGTTGATTGTAAATAGCTAAAAAGCTTGAAGTCTTGAAAAGAATTTTTAAGTGCTAAAATTGATTTTTTTTAATTAAGTATTTATGTGTTTGGATAGATATGCTGAAATTAATAATAAGCAGTTGATATATTTGACGGAAAAACTGATAAGCTGTTCTTTTATTAAGATAACTAAAATACCCTTAAGTTTTTTGTAAAAGATTATAAATTAAAAGTTTCTTTGTAAATAAAAGGATGAAAAACGAATATGGAACGAAGAGAAAGTTAAAAATTTTATTTTAGGAAAAGTATTTTGTGAATTAAAAAATATTATTAAGGATAAATTAGTAAAAACCTTGGTCAAATTAAAAGTGCTTGTAGGCTGAAAATCCATAAATTGGGGGTGACCAACTTATGACTTGTGGCTGATTTTAACTTATGAACACTTTACTTATAAGTACTTTAGATACTTACGCGTAGATAAGTCAAAAGGTACTTATAAGCCGATTTGATCGGCTTATAAGTTTATCCAAACACCCTCTATCAAGTTGCCAATTTTAGGAGCACCTCTTAAATGGCACCATATAGCTAATTTTAAGGGCATCATTTAAAATATATTCAGTTTTTAAAAATTATATAATTTTTAACTAAGATTTGACAAACGTCACACTATTCCTCCTCCTCTTTCTCGTTCATATTTCGATCTTCGGCTCTGAAATTTTAAAATGTCATAACCTAATCTCATACCCGAAAATTTGAAGTTTAAATTGTAAATTTGAAGAGACAGTTACATTTTTAAAACTTTTTAAATTTCGACATACTTTAAATACTTAAAAGTGGTTATTAGTGCACTTCGCCCTATTTCACGAGCTTCAGATCGGGCAAACTACCCCCACCAAGAACTACGCATATAAAAATCACCTAAAAATTGTTGTCTCTAATAGGTTTTAACATAATTTTTCATATGACTCACTTCGCTAATTAGTAGACCACATTCTTGAACACGGATAAATGTTAATGTATGCATTACTAGTAGTAACATCCTGCAGTAAAATATTTGCCGTGTTAAAAAGTATTTTATAAGAAATATTTAAGAGTTTTATCTAGATAAATAAGGTAACCGATCAGAATATTGTTAAAAACTACCAAGCTATATTTTTCTACTGATTTGTTACAATTTCATATTCTTAAACAAGTATTGAGACAAGAAATTATATTTTTATATACTTTTTTTCTGGTTACTATATACTTATCATACTTGAAATTATAACATATTAGAACCTCTAATCAACAACAACAACAACCCAGTATAATCCCATTTGGTCTGGAGAGGGTAGTGTGTACGCAGACTTTACCCCTACCCTAAGGTAGAGAGGCTGTTTCCAAATAAACCTCCGGCATCCTTCCCTCCAAGAAATTCTCACCTTGTTCTTGGGAAGACTCGAACTCACAACCTCTTAATTAGAAGTAGAGGTTGCTTACCATTAGAGTCAATCAAAGATATCATAGTCTATGTCATCTTCCCAAAATTCTATCTTTCTCCAAATTGCTACGAACATGAGTTTGTTTGTCTACCAAACTTTGACTCTTTTGCCAAATTAAACCCACTTTTACATGTTTTGTTCGTCAACCACAGTTCATTGCATCCAATTGCATTCTGTTTATCTCATTGATTCGAACCTTTAATGAATTGCTTCATCTTGTCTATACAACACATTGACGTTTCGGTCATTTTGCGCACACCTATAAATTTCCGGATATCTATGATGTCTCTCACCGGTACGAGCACTAAATAGCTTTATCTATAAAGACTTACGTTAATAAGAAAAAAATCACCTAGCGTCGTCTTTCGGTTAAAATTTGAACCTTAATTGGATAGTTAACGCATCAATTTGAGTTACTTTATATCATCTTTAATATATGGTGGTGTTTTCATGATACATTATTAGAATCACGATTCATGAAACGAACATTTATCATGTGCTACACATTTATAATTGTTATATATCCTCATTCAATTGACCACTTAAAAAGTTTTCCACAACTAAACTATGAAGTGCGCAATGTTAGGGCTCTAGCTCTAGTTGTGGACGTATCGATGTTAAATGTTCAAATAATCATTCCATATTGAGTCTTTAACGTATTCTACCTTTAACATAGAAGAGAGTATAGTTCCTATCGACATAACTCTTTGAAGTACAATTGTAAATCGCCTTTTACATGCATGATAAAATTTTACTTCTACCAATTCTTATGTATGTAGTACACTCCCTTTTGCTATTGGTAAAAAGCCAAACCATTTTTTCTCTAGGTAAAAAAATCAAAAAACCCCTACTTCATGAATAGGGCTTCTAAATTCCTAGAGTATTTGACGAAAAAGTGTTAGATTTTTTTTTTGTTAAACTAGTTAAATAAGAAGATTTGAGGCAAATCCTAGCCAAAGATAATTTATCCTAGATCTGAGATAGAAGATAAGAATAAACAAGTATAATTGAACATAAAATTTGGTTATAGTTACGACTGAATTTCATAATGTAAGAAAAGGATGATTGCTCCCATAATATTAAATGATAGCGAGGAATGCATAAATGAAAAGAGTCACCATTATTGAACAAGGCTGACCTCCATACGTTTAACATAGTTAAATTACATATGAATACCGAGATTCTAACTCTTTTCTCCTTTCTTCTTGGCGAGGAGCCTGAGATGAAGGTCCTTCTTCATCTTTAGAGATATGTATGTATGTGTGTGTGTGCCTCTCAGCCGCCATTCAGTTACTCTCTCCCATGATATTTATACAAAACGCTTTTTTTACCCAACGATCCTTAATCGGAGTACCTAAGTTCTTGGAATATCCTATAAAATATTCCTCTAAAATGTTTAAGTGTTGAACTAGTCGTTCAGGCCGAATTGAGTGCTCGACCTCGACCGTAGCTGAATCACTCGTTAGTGTATTGCTTCCCATACGTGACCTCGGCTTGGTTGACTCTTGGTCTTCTTCCTTAAGTAAGATTCTTTTATTCAAATTTTGACCTATACAATTAGTCCCTCCGCCAATCGAGGTTGTCTTTGGGCGAGCTCGGTGGGTGGACTTCGCCAGTTGCACTTTTTGAGAAATCTGAGATCGTTGGCTGAAGAGTGATTCCCTTTTGTTGGCGAGGTGGTGAGGTAACGCTTCAAGAGCCGCACCTGACCGTTACGTCAGTTTGAAATAACATTGTTTCATCATGCGTCATTATGGCGTATGTTCCCCATACGTTATATCGCTTTCCTCGCTTCTTCCGTTTCGAAATAAATGATGCGGCGTTTGGGCTTTCTCGATTGGGGTGCCTATATTCTTATAAATAGGGATAGGCACTCCTTATTTGAATTGTTGTATTTTTAGAGCCTTTGAAGCCCGAGTTCTTTTCTTCTTCGAGTTTTTAGCTTATGTGTTTTCTTTCTCCCTTCAGTATATTTTGCTATTGTCATCTCCTTCATCTTTGTATTTCTTCTTAACATAATCGAAAAAATGGCTAGTACTTCCTCTGACCCCGTGACATTAGCTGCGGATGCACCTCCTCATGAGGAAGGGGTGGCCATGGTGAAAGATGAAATTTCCTCACCTTGGACGAGATAATCCCACACTCCGGGAAGGCTAGGTCACACTTCAAAAACCTTTCTGAGGATGAACCTAAACCTGTCATTTCTACGATGGATGTGGCGATGATTACTGCATTTAGGACCAAGTGGAGGATCTCGGCCCATGTTGAAATTGTTCCTGCTGGTAGTGATGTAGTCCAAGTACATCGCCCTTGGTAGAGGATTTTTGGCGCTTTTACAACGTATGCCCGGCTCAGCTCTCTCTGTACATATACAAGCGTTTCCTTATGCTTATCAAATACGTGGAGCTGTCCAGCCATGGTATTTCTCTACGCCACGTGTTTCACCTCTTCGCCCCAAGTTTTCACAGGGACATGATGATTTATATGCGTCATCGGGGGACCAAGGGGTTGGTATTGAAGATGGACGATAAAACTAATCGTCATTTTTGGGAAAATTTCTTCCACGTGAAGACAGCACACATGGTATTGAACCCCAGCGGATTCCCCAAGGAGTGGAACTTTGCTCGTAAGTGTTTCCCTTCTAAAATGACCGTTGTTTGCTTTGGGGTAATCTGATCGTTCTCTTTCTTCCTTTGTAGCCGAGCGAGATCCTCCTTTACCAGTTGTTGACATTCGCGACTAGGTGAGTTAGGTTTTGGCTTATACTGTGGGGGATTCGCGAGTGGTCTCACTTCAATGAGAGGTTCGGGCGTAGACATGCAGCCGCTGAGTCACCTTTGGCTTCAATTGTTGACTTTTATATCGTCATTTCAATCCTCTTATATCTCTTTTTTGTTTACAGGTCGGAGGGTAGCAAGGAAGGCTAGGGCTCATATGCCTGCCTTTCGCCAGTTGGGTAACTCAGCCGAGCCTGAACTCGTTGTGGCTGCAAGTGAGTCTGTTCAGGCTACCGCTTGCCGCCCAGATGCTGCTCCCCTAGCAGGGGTTCCAGCTCCCGCAGTTTATTTGATGGATGAGTCGTTAGATGGCAAAGAAGAGGAGGCTCAATTAAAGAGGCGGATGATAGTGGCTGAGATTGAAGGGCCTTCGAGGGGTGAACCCATGTTGGCGGTGTCTGAATTGGTCGGGGGTACTTGTTTGGGCATGGAAATTGTGCCTCCTTCGATCGCGAAGACGGCTTCTGTAGAAGGGGGCGTAGCTCGGAGTCCATTGCAATCATTCCGAGTGGTCTATCG